AAAAAAAAAAAAAAAAAACTTCTCATGACCCAAGAAATTCAAAAACTACACAAAAGCACATAAAACTACACAAAAGCAAAAAGGAACTTCTTATCAGGAACAAGATGATTCAAAGTACGGACTGAAACAACCAGCTAGATTCTAGTCAATTCAGATTTCTTGGAGAAAGAAGAACACGGTTAATCATGTTGTCCAAAGCCAAGAATGATAACCCATTTGGACCAGTAGCGGCCTCCTCTGCCAACTTCTTCCATTCCATGGCTTTCTTCCTCATCGCTTTGCCCTTCTCTCCCTCCATTAATGTTCTCACAAGGTCCTCTATGTAGTTTCTTTTAACATCATCCTCTATCTCTATGCCTATGCCCCATTCTTTGCAACAGAACCTGCAATTGGTTTGTTGCTCTGCAAAGAAGGGCCAACAGATCATGGGCACTCCACCACACAAACTTTCAAGGGTGGAGTTCCATCCACTGTGTGTCAAGAACCCTCCTACAGCTGGGTGGCTCAGTACTTGATCTTGAGGGCACCAACTTGCGAATAGACCCCTTTCTTTGGTCTCTTCCAAAAACTCCGGTGGAACCACAGCGGATTCTCCACGAACAAGGTCAGGCCTTAGAACCCATAAAAAGGCCTTGTTGCTATTTGCAAGTCCCCATACAAACTCAATTAGCTGCTCAGCTGTCATGACTGTGATGCTTCCAAAGTTGACATAAACCACAGAATTTGGTTCTTTTGAGTCAAGCCATTCAAGGCACTCTGTTTCTTCTCTCCAAAGATTTGATTCAATCGACTTCAAATTGTTATAATCTGGTGGAATCTGACTAACCTGTAGTTGAAGGGGTCCAATGCAGTAAATAGGTGGTAGGAAAGTCGAAAGTGCATCCAGAACTTCAAGCTCTAAGGCTTCAAATGTGTTGAAAATGATTGCTGAAGCTTTCTGGGCTCGTTCGAACTCTCTCACAAGATATTTCAGCATGATGTCATTTGGATCTGTGGTTCTGACGAAGGTTGGCAAGTCCCTCAAACGAATATGTCTCATGCCTGGTATCCAATCTATTACAGTATCTAAATACCCATTTGTCAAATAGCTGGCATCTGCAAATCAAATAGGTCT